AATGGTTCCCAACACTTCTTTGTGGTTCGATACTATCACTCTTTCCCAGTCGATGCTATACAAAATCTTCTGATGCATAGATGTTTTTCAAACCTTTACTGAGGTCAGATAACTCCCAATTCCTTCTATGAGATGCGCCTGAGATCAGAATCATGGTAGTCGTCTAGATCATGTTGGACTGGATATTTGTTTTTGATGAATACAACCACTATGATCTCCTGCAGGCCGTCTCATAGAGGTCGAAGGCCATTAGTTACTTGTACCTGAAAGCAGGAAAAAGTGGGGCTCGCCGCGGATAAAGCGCGTGGGAAAATACGCTGATTTTGAAAAATTGGTCCGAGAAACACGACATGTTCTCCAGGTTTCTAGTTAAGAATATTAAAGATGAGTCAACGAAGGCAAACTATTTTGTCTGATTTTGTATAAGTAGGTCTGTTGGGTTAATTATTTTAAATGTTACCGTTATTTTTATCCCTTGTACATCTCAATTTAGAGCTAAAAGAGGCGAATTCGATGCTGCGTGGGGAAAATATTACAGAGATTTTTTAGTTTTTTTTTTTTTTCGCAGAAAAACGGTATTGAAACTGTCAAAAGAACAATAGGGCTCACCGAACTTTCAGACTCGCCAGAGCATTTGTCTGACACATTTATTTGTAGCGTTAACTGAGTAGTAGTATTGATTCATGGAGGTAGGAAAGCTGAAAAATCATAAAAACTGTTGCCAGCTACCTTGAGCATCGATGAAGGTATTGTACTTGAATCAAATAGAAGTAAACAATCTTGAAATAAACCTTTGCCTTGCCAAGATCAGATCACGGTTTGCCGTGATCTGAATTCTTGCTGGATCAAAGTTTTAAGAACCGTTACATGCATGGCTACTTTAAAAACACGAAAATCTCCTAGTGACATTCTTAAAAAAAATAGCGATGATTTCAAAGGAGTGGACCTTTTATTACTGAAGTTATTTTGACCCAATTTTGTTACACGACTTTTTTGCTCAAGCCCATATGATAACAACATGAGACATTCTCAGAGAAACATAATAAATTTAGGTTTTATCAAACAGATTGTACTTATAAATCATAAACGTTTTTCTTTTCCAGAGGAACTTACTCGTATTAATCGACGCGTTTCTTGGCATAGTGCGAATCTGCGGTCAAATAAAAGACATCACTTACCTGGCACAAACGGTGCCATGGAAGGGTCGTAATCCTTCATCAATTTTTCCATGATCTTCGAAGAGTTTAAAATCCACTCTTTATCTTTATTCAGGATTTCACTTGCATTATTATTACTCTCCCTGAAAATTAAAAGTCAGACAGTATTTTATGAATTGCTCGTCAACATGCAAAAAGAACCAGGTCATCTAAGCATGACAGAGAAAAATGAAAAAAAAAATTCAATATTATTTCTTTCTAAAGTGCTATTTTCCTTAAGCCCCGTCCACACTACGCCGAAAAAAATTGAAAACGCAGCTTTGTTGCTACGGTTAGGCATACCGTCCACACAAAATGATCAGTCACGAAAACGCAGCTTTTCGAAAACGCTCTTCAAACCACAGGAAATTGAAAACGCCGGCTTAGCATTTTCGTGAGAACAGAAAACATTTTAAAAACGGCGCTTTTCGAAAACGATGACGTCACGATAATCATGTGATTTCCCTGATTGAGTTTTCCTCAAACACAAATTCAACCGGTGATTGTTGCCTTTTTTAACTCATCAAGCGTGGTGTGGACGAAAAACATTTGACGCGTTTTTAGAGTGAAACCTCCGATTTCAAATTCTCCCGGTGTCTTGTGAACGGGGCCTAATGCATATGCCAGCAATGATTTTCCGCTTTCGTACTAGTAATATTCCGTTGAATTCAGTATATTAGGCGCCTTGATTGTGTTATGAGATGTCTTAGGGCAACTCGTCGACTTCAAATATTCAGTTGAACCGAGAAGCTTTGACAATTACTTTTTAAAAAGTTAGCATCACCAAAGGTCTTTAAACAAAAAAATTAATAGAAATGAAACCAAATGAATAGGCCTTTCCACAGGACGTTTTACCTCTTTTCTCGTTTTCACTGGGTCTGTGAATTCTCTTTTTCGCTCTATTCCCATGCTCCTTGATATAATACGCGGCTGTTTCGGTGGGAAATGAAATGAAACAGTCCTTTCCACTGGAAGGTTTCTCAAGCCATCAGATGATACACACTCATCCCTTCTAATTTTGTGGTTTGAAAATTTGTACTGTTCTTTTTGGCGGAAAATTCTCACTGGTTTTTTCCACCCAAACGGAAAGCGCTCTAGGCTCATCATTTATTTATTCAACTTCGCCTAACTAAGTACTTACATATAGAATAATCCGGCTTGCAATAATTTCAAGATAGTTAGCCTCTTGAGAATACTATTATCGTTGCTATGGTACCCTCTGCTGCTTGTATACCAGTAGAAACCGAAGCTAGATTCATATGTAATCTTTTTTTTTTTTTCTGCCAGTATTTTCGTTACTATAATTGAGGTGAGGAGGGGTCATGATCAAGGGCAGTTATGTCAGACCCCCTCTTAGGTTATGTGTAGGTCACATATCCAAGTAAGCTTTTGTTTTTTAAAACGTCTCACACCAAGCCTAAAACAACAAATGCGAGATTAAAATGGGTATCCGAGGTTTTACAAAAATGTCTCTGTAACAATAACCGTTACTTATGAATTGTTGAGAAATAAACTCATAAATAACTTTTGAGTTTTGACATACGATAGCCCCCTTTATAATAAATGGTGACATTCAATCGCTGCAAAACTGCTACGCTCAGTTTAAATAAACAAAGTGGTGTGGTACAAGGAACAACAGATGTTCATAACAACAGTGATAACAATATTAAATATTTAACAAAACTTGCCGATCTTTTCTGCCGCATTAGTGATCCAATTCCATTTTAAAAAGACGTGCTTTAGAAAAAGGCCAAAGGTTCAATGACATGTATGATAGAACTTTGAACTTAACACTAACTGACAAATGAAGACGGTAAAGATGAAGCATGGAACAATTTAACAATGAATTTTATAACTGTCCTTGTTGTGTACCCCGCTGTGAATTCACTTTGATTGTCTTGCACTGCCGGCCAGGTTCCAACCCGAGATTACTTGGGACAACATTATTAGTTCTAATCAAAATCTTATAACTCGCACGAAAACTATTTCACTAAAATTTTTCGCTTTAGTTTTGTGATATAAAGTGTTCTCACAAATAAAGAACTTGTTACGGCAAAATAAATATGACAAAAGAGAGGCCAAACCATTTTTTTTCTTCCCTACCAAAGTCAAAGCATTCAAGAATTCGAAAGGATCTTGGCAATAGGGTTGTTTATAGAATATAGTAAAACTTACAGGCCGAAGGAGAAAGTGATGAAGACGAACACACAAACCAGCTCGGCTAGTAGTTGAATGCACTCCATTTTACAGCTCCACCATGCGCTATTTCGTCGCCGAACTGTTTCACTCGATCAATCCAGGCGCTTTTCACACCTGCAACGTTAATAATTTATCACTTCACTTTTTTCGTCTTTTCGTGCACCACTTGCTGTTACTGAATAAAACAATAGCCGAAGAATATTGTTTAATGTTGAATTAAAGAACAGAAATATTCCGCTAACGTAAATATTTTGGAAGAGAACACAAAGATATAGACGATAGACTACGTATGTTTATTAATGTGAAACGATCACTAAGTATTAAGATCCAGAAATTTTTTCTCTGTCATCCTCTGCTTGTTATTCAGAGAATCGAGTAAAAAAAGTAATTTTCCAATCTCGGAAATCATTAGAAAAGTTAACTCTTATAAACAAGAAAATAATTATAATTTCAGAATAGACAAAACATAAGTCTTTAAAAAATATCATGTCACATGAGCTTACTTGAGATTTTAATAATTAATACCGTACTTATGAAAATTCTACAGAAAGAGGCACAACAACGGAATACAGTAAGTTCTACAACTTATATTATTATTGTAATACATTAACAGACATTTTTATTATAATGAGGGTGCAGATTTTAGCGCTCTTCTATATTTCTTAAACTTTGAACCTCAAAGACAGAAAGGAAACTCAAGCACGATTTGTAGCTATGTTTTTCAGGACTTGTATCAATGGTAATTACAAATCAGGATTTGGGACACAAAATATTCCGTTGAAAAACGTGGATGAGCAAGTTGTTGCTCTTCAAATCTCTTGTTACATAAAGAGAGAACCTAAAATCTTCATTAACTAACATTGCGTTTAGCGTTCTTCGTAAACACAGAGGCTGTGAAAAGTTTTCAGTGAATCAGCAAAATTTATCGGCAAATCAACATAGTGTATGATGCCGCAGTCTTGAATGCCGTTAGAAGACAACATTTGCTTCCAATGTTCTCTAACCCTAAGAAATCATGATGTTGTTTTGTACGCATCCAGTGTTTCCCGGCATATGTATGGCCGCAATCAACTGGTAACGAGTGAAATAAGAAATATTTCACCAGCGCTTTGCCGATCCATAAGCTAAGGAGAGGAAAATTATTAGAATCATTAAAACGTTAGTTATTTCTTTATTTATTGAGTACACCATTTGCTTTCCTTTTAACATCATGGGTGAAAATCTGCGCTCACAATAGTGGGATTTTGACCTGTTTATCGTATCGAGAACTTTCGCTCCAAACGTTACCATGGCAATTTTGTACTTTCACTTGTAAAAATATAAATTAACGCTAAAAGTTCGCTCAAGAATTAAGAAGTTGTTGATATCATCCTGGAAAATTACTTTCTTTCCAACCGTTTTGTTCGCGTCTCGATTCTCAGTCAAATGAGCCCATTTTGTCTCAGTATCTCACTGCTCGATCAGCAGTTTCTGCTCTTACAGCAATTATCGAGTCAAAAATATGTCAACATGCATTCTCCCTACGCAAGTAAAGTACACTATTCGGAAAAGCCGTGACAACAATTGCACTCAACTAGCCTGATTAAACCTGATTAAATCTGTTTTTCTGATGTTTGGGACATTGTAATTTTTTCATACATCATTTTAGCGGTTTGACTTTGGAACTCAGTTTTCACTCAGTAGGAGGTTGCCAGATTTTCTTGTAATTTCGTGTTTTTCGCATTTTAAAAATTCGGTCTCCCTTTCAGAATCTAAATAATAAAATAAATAATAATAAACAGCTGAAATGAACAGAGATAGCGCTATTAATTAATCAAAACTTGTATTGAGATGAATAATTAAACGTGTGAGAAACAAGAAAGCAAACAATTTTAGCTTTGTGAAGACATTCAATTTTCGTAAATCATTTTCCTTTTAAAAGAACCAATGGATAAATGGAAAGTGTAAGCGTAAGCGAGTCTGAAGGGTACGAGTGATCTGAGCAGAGCAACGTAGCAGCACTGCAATACGACAGAAGTACAATTGTCTTCATTGCAAACAAATTGGGTCCCACACTTTCAAAAAGGATCATTAAAATATAGCTGGGGATCACGCTAACGACATATAAACTATTTCTGAATATCAATTAAAATCCTTGAACGTCAAAATTCCTAGTGCACCTCAAATGTATGAAAAAAATAAGGTGGTTTTAAACTACTCCCGCAGATTTTATTTTAAACTTGTGAAACTTTCTCTTTTGTTGTATTTGAACTCTTTAAAACTACTCTATAGAAGTTTTTCTTTTTTCATCTTTTTTGTCCAACCATTTAGGTGGCCTCTTTCGACGTTGCTATGGCAACGAATATTGACTTATGCAAGCTAATATACAAAAGATCATGTGTTTGTGAAAAAGCCCACCACACTATCGTGGGGTAAAATTTTGGAATATTATTCCTTAGGATGGGTGCAAGAAGGAGACCATTGACTCCTTTAAGTCTGCTCTTAAAAAAAATTTTTTTAGCGAAGTAACTTTTAGCTTTAATTGCTTAACCTTTATAAATAATAAATAAACATGTCTTTTTAAAAACTGCTATCAGCAAGGGTCCTGCGTAAAATAAATAAATAAATATATATAATAAACAAAATGAAATATAAAATCTGCAAAAATCTAAAAAGCTATATAAAAATCTTAAAATGTACATGTAAAGAGAGATTAAAAAAACTGGAACTAGATTCATACAAAATGGTTAAAAATATCTGCCCCTTTATAAGAGAAAGTGTTCTTTTAGTAGATTCTAATTGAACTTTATCAATAACTAATTTGTTCTTATTCCTAATGTCGTAACCATGAATATCATGTCTTCTAAGTTGAACTGAACATTTGGAGAAATAACTTGGAGCCTTTCCCTTCAGAAGTGTTTCAACAAGTTCAACAATGTGGTTTTCTCTTCTTCTCGTAATAGTGTCCCATGCAACAAAGACTTGTACCCATCTGTTCGGTGGACAAATGGGCGGTATTCAAGATTGTTCTACCACCTCGTCTTTTTAGGTGTTCCAGACCTTCTTCGTTCCCAATTACCACATCCATGGAAAACAGTATCACAATAATCCAAAATTGAAAGAATCATCGTTTTTAACTCAGTAACCCCATTCATGTACATGAATTTTTCTTCCTCGTGTTTTTAACATTGTAACTTTTGGTTTTGTGACCTGCTATGCCTGCCTGCCATGTAAATGTCTTGCTTGCATGTATACCTGCTTGTTTACTTACAAAATTACAATATACCTAACAAGAAAAAAGACAAAAAATACAAAAACAAAACCAAATGAAGAAGTGCTCAGTGACTAAAGTAGTTGACCGACTTTCGCACCAAACAATACCACTACTGCACTGATTTACTAACTGTCATATACGGTTAATTGGTTTTTGCTGTTACGTAAAATGATGACGACATGTTTGCAACGCGCAAGCGCAAGGATTTTGCGCGTGGATTAAAGGGAGGGTTTCACGGTTCGGCGCATGTCTCTGAATCAAAACACTTATGTTCGCTTCTTATCAATGTTGTCGCTTTAAGAACCCTACGCAGATGCTGTACAGTAATTAGCCTGCGTAGCAAGCGTTCCCGCACGAGCCGAACCAAAACGAGCCGCGCGAAAAGTGGATCGAAAGCAATTCGAGCCGCGCGAATTAGTGATGCGAGAGCAAAAAGGTGGAAGAAGTGTAATCATATGCCATAGTTAGTCGTGGCAGAATGACTGGATTTTACCGCCGCTGTCAACCGTTGAATTTAGTGTTGATCCGTGTAATTTATTCTGCGGTTGATGATTTTAGGCTATCTGCATGCGAAATTAGATAACTTGCTTACGATTGGTTCATAAACAATGAAAAACTGGGCCTGTGCCAAGAAGCGTGCACAGGCGATAAAATAATACAGACATGCCCATAAACGTGAAACCACCCTTTCAAAAGTGTGTTGTGTACTGGTGGAATAGCACAACCGCTTGGTGGAAAAACGTTGAGTTGCTGAAACAAATCAAACGACGGGAATTATATCTGCTACCAAACTCCCCTTCCAGCTTCTGCGAAGTTTCCACCAAATGTCTAGTTCAAGCCCTTCAAGGCCTCACTTTCTTCCATGGAAATGCCTGGGTTCCCTTCCTGCCCATTTTATTTGTAAGTTTTGAGTTTGCTTTTTTCGCATCGTCTCGTTGCTTTAAATTATTGCCTGGAACAATATCAGTGCATGCTCCTCACCTTCCGGGCAACTTGCAAGTCCAGCTTGTAGGCTCCCCTACTCGCATTCTCACATAATCGTTTGTTTTATGGAGACAAAATATATTGCCCACGAACATTTCTTATAACCCCCAAGGCGCGGTTCTGAAGCTGGTTAGAAATTGTTCATAAAATATCTTGCTAGAAGAACAGGATGACTTCAATATTATCCTCCGGTCGTGGAAGTTGTGGAATAAGCTACCAGGCAAAAGTAGAACCCAACCATCACTGAGCAGTTTCAAAAATCGTATTCGTAAATGCGATTTAAGTGTAGGCTTTTGTCGATTGTGCTAGCATAAATTTGGGCATAATCTAGCAAACCGAGCATAATTTGTAGCTTTTATCTAAATTTAGCACTGCTAACTTAATCTGGCTTTTCTGACCTTCACGAAATGACGTAATTTCGTTTTTTACTTGTTCTGTTTCAAAAACTTCTTCTCCGGGCCGCCTGGGTTTCTTGGTCTTAGGCCCCGCGCATACGGCTCAGTAGTGAGCTGACTGAGCTCTAAGATCTCAGAAGGCGTCCTTATCGTCGACCTGAGCACTTCCCAAGTTCCAATTCAGATAGTTCAACATACAGAGGGCTTCAATCTCTTGGGAGCGATTATTGAAACCGTCTTCACGAACAAATTAACCAATTCATACCCCCACCGTAGTGCGGTGGGGGGAGGGGGTTGATGGAATCCCTCCCCTGGGTATTCGTTCTGTTATTGTGGGGGTTAACCTAAAAACACACCGTGTTTTCAAACTTTTCTCGAGAAAAGATTTAATTCCAAACTACAGCAAGGGACT